ATTTATGATTTTTTTTATGTTTTTTTTATGATTCCGCGCGGCGCGTCTCCGCAGGTGTGGGTAGGACGCGGCGCGGTGGCTGGGAAGGTAGCGGCGAGGTCTGTAGGTTGCGCAGTGGCCCCTCGAGAGCTGCCGCGTCCAAAGTGTAGAGGCAGGTGGGAGGTCACCTAGAGCTGGCCAGGGCAGCAAACGCCAAGTCTGCCCGGCCTGTGGCCGGCCCTGTGACGCTGAGGAAGGGGCCTTTCATGTTATGAATTTTGCCATGTGTGCACGCGCGGCAGAGAGAAGCTTAGTCGTGTTCCTGGTCATGGTCAGTGCCTTGTTTGTTGGTTTGAGTGCCTGCCTGCTGGTTTTACTGGGAGCGGTCATTTCTACGTCTAGGCAGAAGTCTGGCTTTTTACGACGCAGTCAAAAGTGCCTTGGTTTGCGTTGCTAGAGCCTAAAGCCCGAGCCTTGCCTCAAGCTTTACCGGTCGTACCCACACCATTCACATAGGACGCAAAGTGCGCTAGGTTAGCGTGATTGACATATATCCAGGGCCTGTATTCGGATTGCAGGCAAATTTTGACTGCTGGGAGAGGGTTTGCATAGTTTCTTTTGCAGAGTGAGTTATTTCATTTATATACTTGGCTGGAAACCAATACTTTACAAACCAATTTTTTCAACACAAGAACAATAGGACAGAAACAGAAACCCTGAAGAGGCAATGACATTTAAGCATCAAGGAGATTTGATGAAAAACAGTGTATTTTATTAAGAAACATTAAAAAAACATAAATGAAAACATAAAACAAACATAAAAAATCATAAAAAATCATATAACAAAACTGCCAAAAAACAAAAACATAAATCAAAACATAGTGAAATCATTAAAAAAAAAACATAAAAAAATCATAAAAAAAATAAATCACTTAAACGGCCTTGTGGCTCACATTTAGACTCACAACTTTTGAGGTCTGACAACCATCAAACCATCAAACAAGGTTATGAATGGCCTGACAGCCCCAATATACCATCAGGTATGAACAGTCCCATAAACCATCAAACCATGTGTTACTCGTCGTCGACAACCACAGCGAAAGTGGTGGCACCGATCAAATGAGCCCAGGGGCTTCACCCGCCAGTGGCGACCGTTCAAGCGCAAGTGCTGGCGGCTTAGCAAGGCACTGCACCTTGTGGTGCTTGTCGGGGTGTTCAAAGACTTTAGGGAATGGAAGGGAGTTGGTATGGATGACAGGGTTGCGTAATGACAGGGTTGGGGTGGGTTGGGTATGGATGACCGAGTTGGTTTCAGTCAAGAAGACTTTGATTTTGGGGACATGTCTGCAACATTGGAGCCACACACCAGGCTTTTGCGTGAGGGAGAGCACAAGGCCGGCTTTCTTGCCCCACTTGGACACAAAAATGTCACATACATAATCATACATATATGAGCACCCTCGATTCATTGTGGAACGGTGAGGGCCCTCCATAAAACATTGTAAAACCACCATCAATGCTTGGCATGCCCTACTTTGGGCCAGGCATGACCCCACCTACGCCCAATGACACGCCACCTTCGACGCCAAATGTCAGCAATTCCAAAAATCACTCGAAACCGGACGTCGGCCCCGAAAAGCTCGCACGCAAGTGAGAGCTTCGCGGAGCGTGTCTCGCGTTCGGGCGCCCCCCTTTTTGGTGCGTTGACAGCGGTCAGTTCCGTCAAGCACTCTGCATCATACTCCACTTGTAGGGTGGCATAGGTCCAAATGCCTCAGGTAACCATGCAGCGAGCTTTTCTTGGTTGAGGCAAGTGTTGCCTGAGGTCAAAGGGCATCATTTCACACCAAATCGTATCTGCGAAGGAGAACTGTCCATTGTCCCAATGTCTGCAGCAAAAACTGAAAGACTTTGTCTGACGTACAGGTTGCAAAACAGGAGAACTATGCTGGACATGCCCTGAGTACTGCCCTGAGTCTTTTGAGTGATGACGTGCGCTGTGGCTCTATTGTTATGTGATTTGTTTTGATGTCTTTTTGATCGTTCTGCACCGTTTTGATGTCAGGCAAGCGGCTGTTGGACAGGTGCTGACAGGCAAACTCAGAGATGACGCAAACAGCTCGCAAGGAAATCGCTGTCATCAAGGGATCGTCGAGGACGCTGATCGTGGCGAAAGACCAAGAGAGGTTGGCAATCGCCTTGTGTTGACCAAGGAGGTGATTGCAAAGAACATTCGCCATCCGCGCGGTCCGCACGCAACTGGAACAGTTTGTCACACATATACGAACTCTTCCATCTTCTGCCCCTATCCTCCGCAAGACTCTCAAATCCCTACCTGGAGCAGGGTGTTCTTTTCGTGTCACCACCCGGGTGACTCCGAAAAAAAGGACACATTCCTGTCGTGAGCACCAACATGTTCTCTTCACATTGAGCTCCCAAGTTGTAGGACGTGCTATCACTTATATACCAGGGCTGACTTCCGAGCCGTCTTGTAGAACACTGAAGGTCTTTTTTTTCACCTGAGTTCTTGTGCAGTGGGGAAACCAATCCCTACCCTGGGAGTCAAAGACTATAAAAAGAATAGAATAGTATAGAATAGTCTTTAGGGGAACTGAAAGTTACTTCAGCCGGTCAAAATATAGTCTTAGGTGACCCACTTGACTGGCTAGGCTAGCTTGAAATGCCCAACTTGTGGTGCTGCCACCGGTTTTGGGCCTGCGGATCCCACTCTGACATGCTCCGCTGGGCAGCGGCGGAAACGGAGTTGAAGAAGGGCTGATGTGGAAAACTCACCTGCGGCCACTGCGACTTCTACAATTCCCTAGGGATCCAGTCGTACCGAACCTCAGAAGGCACGACTGGACCCTGAAAACCTACATAAGAGTGTCGAACACATCACCTCCTGAGAATGACTTGGATCCCTAGAGATTTGGGGGGCCTGATCCAATTGGCCCAAGACATGCCACATGGACAAATGGACCTAAGTCAGTCGATGCTGAAACACTCTGAGACTCTGCGTTGGCCTGTTGGGGTGACACAGTCAGGCTATAGTATGATCAAAAACATGGGACTCTTAATACTAGTGGATCAAGCTGTTGAAATGGCTTCTTGACCACATTGAAAAAGCATGAAAAAGCAAACCCCCTGCTCCTCTATCCAAGGCACACTCCAAAAATGAGCTTGGTCCCATTCCCCCGCTCTTCAGGGGAAGGGAGGCAGGGAACGGAACTTCGGCCCTCAAAAGCCCCACACCACGACACCCACACCTTGGCCAAGGCCCACGCGCTGTTCGCCATACCCTGCACGTTGAACTCCACCATGCGCCGCTGGGATTCCACCGCGATGGCCTCCAACAGAGGTAGCTCTCGGATGCTCAGCGTAGTGAAGGCCCAAGCGATGTTGCCTTGGATGTGTAGCTGTGTAGCTCCAAACATATGGGAGACCTTTTTGGAGGGGTTCAACTCCACCCCGAGTGGAGTTGAAGGAACGTCGACCAATTTAGCCAACTGTTTGGGGAATCTCCCTTTCTTTAGGGATCCACACATTATACCTTCTCAGGTTCGGTACGACTGGGCCCTCCTGGCGCCTACTACATCAATAGTCTCCGTCCTCACCATACCTGAGGTTCGGTACGACTGGATCCCTAGGGTTTGAACATGCACCAACCCAAGCATGGTGATGAAGGACGACCCGCCAAGCAGTGGCGTGGACAGTCTGAGTCGGGTGGGATGACACGTACGACGTGACACTCCTCGAAGTCATCATGGGAAGTGAGTAGTGTTTTGTATATTTATTTTTGGTGTGTGTGTGTGTTTTGTGTGTGTGTGTCAGGGCCTATACAGAAAGAAGCATGCCAGTTCCACTTCCATACTCAAATCCTTTTATCATTTAATTTGATGAACAAAGCGCTGCTCAAACGCCCCCCGGAAAGAGCCTTTTCCGAATGCCAAGCAGGGGGTTGTCCACTTCCAGCTTTGTTGCTTTGTTTGTAGGAGGGGGAGCAAAGTCCCACCAAAGCAACTGCACTGAAGAGGGGTCAAAACCTGATCTCCAAGCTAAGAGGTTTACCCTTAGGATAAGGAGTCACAAGAATCAGGAACTCTTAAACTCCAATGGCATCATGGAAGTAGGAGGGGGAGAAAAAAACCTGGAAGACCATGAACATCCTCTACCAAGCAGGGGTCGATCATCAACAGTCAAGAACTTCCTTGCCTCTGGTGGCTGTACGAACCGAAGTCATCCGAAGTCGCCCAGTTCTTGGTGACCACAAAGCCGTATCTTCTGGCGTGCCATCGCGGAGATCTGCGCCATGATGGGAGCATCATCGACCAGGAGCTTGGCCAACGCCCACGCGAAGTTGCCCAAGTTCTGTGCTCCGAAGTCGCGCATCTGGTGTGAGGACTGGTGGCAAAGGTCAGCCTCCAAGCGGCTTAGGGCGAAGGGCGGACCAGGTGACCTAACTCTTCACATCCCGGATGGTCATGCCGGGAGTCAGGGCCGGATGACCAGGCGGACATCTTCAAACCCACCCGGCACCACCGCATGGGTGTTACATGATGTTACACATCCACTTCGCATGGAAGTGGAAAAAACCGTCCGCATCCGCCCCGAGGAACGCTCCGATCAAATAGCGGGGCCGTGTTCATCCTGTTCCTCTTCCGTGTCAGTGAAGCGGTCGCCAGAGTTGTGTGAGGAATGTTGAATTCCATGGAACAGCCGTTCACCCAAAACATCGGTGTAGCGCGGACATCGCCTCCCACTGGGCTGCCAACGGTGAACACCCCCACACCCCCATGGTGCAGCCTGCAAGACTGAAGACATTGAATGCCATCCCATCTCCATGGACCCTGTTTACTGTTTTGCTTTTGTCAAGGGCTGCTGGATTCCGGAGTTCATCCTTACTTCCCCGTCTGAGTGAATATCAAATCCTCTCTGGAGGGAACGCTTTGCAAACAGAAGCTGTTCCGGCTTTTGATCTCTGTTCCGGCCCAAGAAGCTAAGAACTTTTCCTTCAGAAGCTGGATCTTGGCGAAGGCTCAGGCCATGTTGGACACGTGCTGCGGCTGCAACTCCCGAAGTCTTCGGGAACCTTGCGTGGCCAAGGCCTCCATCAAGGACTGGTCGCCTTGGGGTTCGGTCGGGCGGGTGAGGTCGGTCGGGCCGGCCATGGATGGACCTGTATAGATGGTCAGTGGGGAGGCAGGTGGCCCCAGCACCCCACCCAGTTCAAGCCAAATGCCCTTAGCAACCGCCCCTGAAAAGGCACTCGTCCCAAAAATCCGAGAGAGGTGTGAGGCTGAATAGTCCAACAATCATTGTCCTTTTTCCAAGCAACGCCCAATGCCGAATGCCACTCGGGTCGGGAGCACGTTCATGCACTGAAAACACAGGCCAGCGGCCATCGAGGTTGGAGGCCATTGCTAGTAGGTTCCTTTCCCTACACCTCCAGTCGTACCTCCTCAGTGTTAGACCCTCTCCTGGCACCCCCAGTCCCACCTTCTCTGAAGGTACGACTGGAGGCCTAGGGTTTTCAAGCTTGGCAAGTGAACGACAGCTGCTCCACGCGACCTCCACGGTTTTCAGACCTTCGGAAGGACCGAAAGCCGCGGTGGTTTCGGTCCCCATAGCTCGCCCCCGTTGGACCGTCTTTCAACCGCTTGACGAGCGAAGGTGCGGCCCAGGCTCTAGCTCGGAGCGTGGCGCAGGCCCAGGAGATGTTGGCCAAGCCCTGTGGAGGAAGATCTGAGCGCCCTCGCACTTCGGCCAGGAGCGCGCCACTTAGGGAGGCCGCGCCCGGCACCTGCGTGCTCCCCCATCGGGTCTAGAGGGCCCACTCGGTGCGAGCAGCAAGCATGATATCGCCTGCATTCCCGAAGAAGCCATGGGGTTTTGTCCAATAGAAGGATTTGACACCCAAACCAGGTCAACCAAATCATCTTCTTACCTAGTTGATATAATTACTTCAGAAGATTCAATGATCTTTGAAGGCTTAGGGTGAGTCTATTCTATCTCAAAGCTGTCCTACCAGATGTTAACGAAGAGAAGTTCTGCGTTCAACATCTCTGACAGTTCTTCCTGGCTTGGCCCACCAGACTCTGACTCAGCTGACTCAGCCGACTGTGTCTTCATCAAGCGGTTGGTGGCTTCAACTCACGAGTGAAACCTGTGAGTCACCAAACGACCTGGTCCAAGACCATTCTTTTCTGATAGTCAACTGGACTCCCAGGGAATCAGCAACATCTGATCTGCTTCATCCGTACTGCATCCCCAACTTTTCTGAACTTCTTGCTAGGCAAAACTCTCCACAAGTGACCTTTCTTCGATTCAATGAATTCCCCCCCCGGACGAGAACATTGCGCCTTGTGCTCCAAGAGCTTGGCCAAGGCCCATAAGGTCGTTGATAGCGCCTGATGACGTCACAAGTCACATCAGGTCACCCTGCCCCTTCTGGATGAGGGGTGCAACCCTTTTTCACCTCTGCAACATGAACTATAGTACAGTATATAAATGATCTCCCAACTGTGGCAAACTTCTTTCTCTTCATCCATAAAAAGGCAGCCAACATGCTGAAATGTGTCATATATTGGAAGATCCAGGTATGATCTTAGCTACCGCTCTGGGACCCACAAGTGGGGCGAGAGGACCTGCTCATCGAATTCCGTCATCCTCGGCGTCGCCGCAGCCCACACCGCGGACAGCAAGGGCCCGTCGCGGCAGCGCAGGGTCGCGCAGCTCCAAGCGCTATTCGACAAGCCTCCGGGACGCAGGGTCCAGCACGTGACAGGCGTCGCGTCGACACGATGAGATGAAGCTGAAGAAGCTGCAGCACTTGTGTTTTTCAGGTGGGTTTGAGCATGTTTGAGCATGTTTTGCTTGCCGTTGATCTTGGGATCCGTCAAGACTCATCCGAGAACATCTCTGGGACGAGGTCAACCAGGTCATGCCAGCTGTTCCCACCCCACAGCCTGCCGCGCTGAAATCAGGTCTCTTAGCTTGCGCAAGCTCAGGGGCACGGCTGCTTTATTATATGTTCACCCCTATGTTGACCTCTTTCACTCTAAACAGGTCTCTCTCTCTCTCTCATATCCCTGAAGCAGTAGGACTCTCCCGGGACTACTCCCTTGTGCTCGCTCATTGGTCCCTCGCTCTCGCTCACCTTGGTCCCTCGCTGTTCGCGTCGCGTCCGCTGCTCGCCTCGTGGGTCGAACTCCCAGATCTGCTCCACCGAGCGTCGAGCCAACGCCTCCCAGAGCGGCCACACCGGCCGGGACGCCGGCGACAACTTCCTGGGAGTTGCTGTGACAGCAAACCTGGATAAAAGATAGGAAGAACTAGAACTGACTACGTATATTCTAATCGTAAACATCATATGTAAATAAACTACATACAGGATCTTAAGCAAGAGCCCAGGCTTCGCGAGGGCCCAAGCGCTGCTGGCGAGGCTTTGGGGCTCGAACTGCTCCATGCAGTCGTGTGCTGAAGTGGTCAGAGCATCCAGCAAAGGAGCCGAAGAAATTTGAAGCTGAGAGAGGGCTCACAGGGTATTCGCCAAGTGCCGCGGACGTTTTAAGGTACTAGAGCTGAGAAGTTGAGCTTGCACCTGACAGCGTGTTGCTCGGTTCCTTTTGGGAAACAGTGGACATGTGAAGAGTTTCATGGTCTTCAGAACATCGTCATCCAATATGTCATTATGTTTGGTTCATGGTTCATGGAGCCAGCATTGTTTCGCTTGGGAACAACGAGCCGAACCTGGCCTGGTCCAAGAGCTTTCAAAGCCGTGGATCTCGCGCATACCGCGCGCCGGTGGTCTTGGCCACGCGATGTAAGGCGGTGACCAGGTTGACGAAGTCCAGGCGTTCCTCGGACTGCAACAGTTCGAAGATCTCCTCGGCACTCCTGCAGGATGGTCAGGCCCGAGGTATTTTGTTTGGCTTTCTTGGCGGCCCGCAGTGGTTAGTGATTATAGGCTATAGGCCTTTGTAGCAGCCATTTGCCCAGCAGTGGTTTTTGTAGTTAAATAGGCAGTAAGTCACGTATTGATGCGAGACCTACCGAGGTAATGATACCAATGTTCAGGCGCCCTCGCTGTCAACACGCTGTCAACAGCGGTAAGTTCGCTCTTGCCAGCCATCCGCGATGGCGCGCGAGCGAAGGTTCCGTCTAACACGTGAACATCCCTCCAACTTATGACTCCTACCTTAGAACCCCCCTATGTCCACATACCCAGGAATAGCTACTAGTTATTACTTAAGGCAGGGGTCATTGCAACTTGGGACACCCTCCATTCCCACCCAACGCGCGACACGCGCACGGCACGGCACGGCATGACGTGCCCGGCCAGCCATCGCCCACCTCTCGAGGATGCGGCGGTTCAGCTGCCCGGAGTGGCTCGGTGGAGCCCATCCTTTAGAGGACCCTTTGGGCGACCAGCCTTTCGCCAGCGCCATGGACCACCCGCGCGGGCTTCGCCGGCGCCAGCAGAAAAGGATAGAAAAGGCGGCAGTTTGTTTGGCTTGGGGCAGAAAAGGTCAGCAGAGTGGTCAGCGGATGAGTGGTGGATGAAGAGGACGTGACATGAGGCAGAGTACCGGGGCCCTGGGAAGCCGTACACCTCAGCTACTAAAGGACCTTTTCCATGGTGTGGAATCCCATTTTGATGTTCTAGTGTGAACCACCTGTGACAAACTAGGGCACCCTTTAGTCGGACTGTTTCACATCCCCCCAGTCCTTGGATTCTGTTTTCAGGAATTCAGCATTGTCCCAATATCGATCCTTGGTCCCATCCCTCTTCCAGGGCGCATGGGGCGAGTCAGTATGACTACGACCCTCTCTGAAGCCTACGCCATGTCGCCGTGTTTTGATCCTTTGATCTCGCCCGATCCACTCGATACTTGATCTGGGGCCGCCCAGCGGGCCGGAGGGGCCGCTCTGACGAAAGTGTTGCTCCTGTTTGGGCCAGGCCGGGGGTGGGATGGCTGGGCTGTGACATGTGCAGGTGTCCCATATTATGAATTCATGAGGAGGCCATGTGCACACTCCTTGAAAGAATCACGGATGTGTGGATGGCATAGTGCCATAGCCCCATGATTTTTTCGGGGAGTGTACTGGTTCATGAGGCGGCCATGTGGCACAACACGCAGCAAGATTGGGAACGAAATGGGACAATGGAATATACTTTATCTACACCTTGGAAAGGAGGAAGAAAATCCCTCGCCTGAAAGCAACAAAGTACTTAGGAGTCTGGTGCCTACAGTGATCCTAGTCAGACTACATGCCATCGTTGATCATGACGGTGCTAGCAGGTTGCCCAAAGGCTACAGTGCAAAAGCACAGCTTCACATTCCGAGCTTCACATTCCCCCCAAAACACGCCGTCAAGACCGGCTGGACGCCCGTCTTCGACCTCGCGCCCGACCTCGACGATGCACGGGTCCACACCATCCCCGGGGGTCCATGACGTACTCGCGACGGACCCAAAAGGCGGCACACGCCAGGGCTTCAAAGTCCTGCCGCTCGGTGTGCAGCGACGAGCGGCCAAGGGCGACGAGGTGGCCTATCGCGACTCGGCGAGCGAGCGAAAGGACGCGAACCGAACGGGGCGACCCTGGCCTTACTAGTTACAAGAGCTACTAGGAGCAAAGGGCATCGCGACTCGAATGGAGCAAGGATGCTAGGGCTTCAAAGTGCTTAACGCGAGAGACTTCTGAGAAAAACACATCAAATCATTGACCGATGGACCCACGAGAGACGCGACCCGTTCTTTTAAAGGGTTGAGCAGTGGGAGCTTTTGTGTCCTATTATATGTCTTGAAGCTCCAAAACATTTAAGACATGGTGTCTCAATGACGGATGTCTTGTTGCATGTGTGTCGTGCGTGTGCTCTTAGCTCTCTTCCTCTTGCGTCTGCTCACAGTCGAGGACTGTTCCTTTGACCTAATTATTCTGATAGATCCAATCCTGAAACACCACCTAGATCCACCTAGAATCCAAGGAAAAAACACACACACACACAACCCACCCATATCCACAACATCTTGTGGCGTTGCCGGCGTCTTTGTTCATCTCTTCGCCACAGGAACCCGAACATGAACTCTGAGCCCGTCGTCCTCCTCGGGAAGCTGTGCGGCCTCCTCCAAGTCCCGCTCGCTACCTACAAGGCTCGCAGGACTTGGGGGCCGTGATCCAAAATGGCGGATCTTCACTTTCTTTCAATTAACCTGTCACAAAAGGCTTCTGTTCCCAAGATCTGGCATGGAGCATGTTACTTGGACCCTTGAAACCTACATAACAGTGTCTCATCACCTTCTCAAAGCGTATGTGGATCTCTAGTAGGGAAGGTAGTCACAGTTCAATCGGTTCAATGATCTCTTGTTGGACCTACGTTTTGGGGATGGTTATCTGAGAGCTTTGTCGGCTCAATGTAGATGCACGAGCCAGAAACCTAGTCAAGAAGTCTAGAACCCAGGTCCCCATTAAAAAAATACGCGGATTAGCACCACCTACTCACAAACTGAGGAGTATCTCAATCTTCCGGACTGTTCCCAACTTCTTGACGCCGCTCAAACATTCGGGCGACCCTGGCGACACTCGCACGCATGTCACTGCGCGCGCGCGTGTTGGTGTACCCAATCCCACCTCGCACAGAGGCCCGCAGCAAGGCTCGCTGCCGCCGCGCGCCCACGGGCATGCCCAGGTCCGCGCCTTCCATGTCTCCCGAGACACCAGGCCGTCGCCCGGGCCGGCGGGCAGGAGGTTCGGTGCCGAGCAACGAGGCGAGGGTCGTTCTGGTGGAAGGTCCCAGGTGGTTCCAACAGCAGGTGAGGTCCTTCAAAACCTTCTTCTGAAGAGCTGGGTTGGTATTACGCAAACACTCCCATGCATGGGATAATATGGCTACATTGCAAATTGAAACCACCCAAATGTAGGCATACATTCTAGATCCATGGAGTGTCTGAGATCGGGCGAACATCTCAAGAAATCTTCAGATGGATCGCAGATTCATGAATCCACCTTCTAATGGGCTGGGGTTTCTTCTCCTTTCAATCTCCCCGCCCAAAAAGCATCAGGATCTTCCTCTTCTTTCCTCCCCAAACGGCCTCCGCCCGCCGCCACGCTCCGCCAGCCACACCACGCCTGGGCTCCGGAGGAGCTCCGCCAGGTCCCTGCTGCGCTGCCGCAGCACGGCGCAGAACTCGCGGCGAAGGCCTCGTCGGTTGCGTGCGGCGCGGTCGGGCGCTCTGGGAGTCCCCTGGGAGGCGGTGGATCCCGGTTTCTTCGTTGTTCATGACCTTTACCCTCCAGCAGAGGTTGAAGAACCCTCTAGACTATCCTATATATAGGTACCCCTGTAGGGTCCTATAATAAGGTCACTGCTGGGGGTCCAGTCGACTCAACTCCAAGTCTCCAAGTCCAGAATCTCCGGTCGACCCGAGTTGACATTCCTGCAACCTTCGGTCCAAATAAACATCGTCGAACTTGAAGTCACGGGCTGACGCGGCTCTCCGTTGACGCCGCGAACGCCGCTCCTTCCGAACTGCGCAGAGCTCAAACCCGTCAGGGGATCGGATGTGTCATGCCTCTTCCGCCAGCGACTAGTAGCCTCCGGAGGTTCCTATACCTGACCTGTCTGGGACTGGCAAATAGACCGATCAGGCCAGGGATGGTCTGGGGGGTCAATGTATAGCGATACCCTAGCCTTCAAAGACCATTAAAAGAACGGTTGAGCGGTTGTGCAAAATCCCAGTAAAACAATGGTTCTTTGGTAATTAAAGACCATTAAAACAATGGTTGTTGGAATATGGCAGTGCCAAACGGGTCTTCTCTGATGGCCTCCCGCGGAACCGTCGCGCCTACGTCGAGGTCCTCCGGCGACAGAGCTCGAACCTCGGACCCGGCGACCGAGCCGGCGACCGAAGTGTTGTGGAGGCGGAACGTTCCGTTCAGATCGTGTGTATTCGAAAAGGCATTCGCTACTAGGAACCGCTAGGAACAAAGGCACTAGTAGCTTCTAGCTACTTGTCTATTGATGCCCTTGTTCCTAGTAGCGATGCCCTTGTGTCTTGATGCTTTTCCGCCCAAGGCGGCTCCAAGGCTCCACGCTGCAGCACCCAAGCTGTCTCATATCTTGACACATCCCTCAGTAAATGCACATCTAACCTATCTAACTCACTTGGGGACCCAAAACCACCCTACTCCCTGTGACTCCTGGTATCTAACTTGATCCAACCGCTTCTGACACCGAACTCTCTTTCCAAGGTGCGAGAGCCAAATGCATGGGCAGCAGTTGATTGATCCAATGCTCTCGCGCGCCGAAGGCTGCAAAGCTCTGACTGCGGCCCTCCATCTCTTCCACCAAAGCGGCCTATGCATGGCACGAACGACACACGGCTTCAACCGGATTTTTTTTCTTCAAGGGAAGGTCATGCCGGCAACCAACAGGTCACAAAGTGTGATCTGTGTGCGTGTTTAAAAAACACCAGGCCCTATAGGGTCCCTACCCATACACGGTCACTGAGACGGTCACAGGGTCATTTCGCACTAGCCATCCCTGGCAAGAATCCAATTGGCCATCCGCACGTGACGTGCGCTCCTGTCACCCAGTTCACCGCCCAGGTCGCCACACTCAGACCGAATTCTTAGATGGACCACTCCAGGGTCTGGAAGAGTCGGCCCTGAGGCCCTTTCGAGTCGTAATTTAATATACACTCCCGAAAACTAACATAGACCCTGACAATGGTCCCGTGGAAGACGATGTTCCTCTACCAACCAGGGGTTTTCAGGTTCCATGTTAGTCTTCCAGGGTGTAATAGTGGATTGAGAGTAGATGGCACAGACCCCCAAATCTCGGTGAGCATATGGACCCCCATCTGTCTAAGACATCTTTGGGGAAACGTGCCATTTCTCACCTCTGATGGCCCACTGATGGAGCTCAAGCCATTTCCCCCAGGTAAAGGATCCATCTCCTGGGATGTGTCTGAACCAGGGCTCTCCAGCATGGAAATTCCGCATCCTGCGGCCTAAGTCGCTGGGAGCAGGTCGCCATCTCCAGGGTCCTTACGCCGGGTCTTACGCCGGTGGCCCAAGGAATCCAAACATAGAGAAGGGTTGATGGATTTCACTCCAACATGGTTACGTGGATGGCAGCCCCCTGTTGGTAGAGGAAATGAGCCTTCCCAGGGGGCGCCATCCACGTAACCATGCTTGGAGGGTTAACCCCAACATGGATCAATAGATGGTGAACATTAAGTCCGACGGTCAACCCCGGTCGAATCATAACAGGGGCGCCACGACCTTCTGGTCAAGGCCTTCTCCTTCTCCCCAACAGCCTTTCGCCAGCAGTTTGTGTCCATTCACCTGTATCCAACTCCAACTCCACAGGTCATCCACCCCCGGTCCCAACTTCAACCTCTGATCGTTGAGGGTGTATGTTCACCTATGGCCAAACCCAAGTCTCCAAAAGAAAGCCAAGAACGGCCATGCAACTGAGTGGAACATATCAAAAGGCCCTTTCTTTTTCCGTATAAGAACCCTCCCTATGAGACCTGCGGCTTCGTACAAACTAGTGGGGCACCCTGTGGCTTCGGAAGTTCAGATTTTTCGAAGGATGGGACAGATTCAACTTGATCGATTCACCCACATCCATGGGCATGTTGGGGAGCCGTACGGGAGCCCTCATCGAGGTATTTCAACCAATTCGCCGGACGAATCTGGACTACAATTTGGCGCTGGCTGTTGAACTGTTGCAAGAAGCGGAAGGCTTGGAACCTTGTTATAATCATCCTCAAACCCTGGCAAACATCAAACCATCATTGTTTTAAGTGATGCTGGGTGGATCAGGAGCCTCCCATCTTCAACTCCAGCTCAACAAGATATATGGCTTAGTAGCGTCCGTGCTACTAGCTCCTGCTTAGCTGGTGAAAAGGACGCTATTAGGTGGAGGCCATCGCAAGTCGGTTGCAGGCCATCGCTACTAGGAAGAAGAAGCTACTAGTAGCAATCACCGATAAAGATCCCGTTGAGCTGGTGTTTACACCATTTGTTGTAGCTGGAGGCGGAGGCCATCGCTATTAGGTTGGAGGCCATCGCTACTAGTAGCAAATAGCATCAAATAGCTAGTAGCAAAGGGCATTGCTACTAGGAGCAAGGACGCTATTAGGATCTTGGCGATATTTTTTGCTCAAAACACCCACCGCTGCAGGTCCCAGGTGCCATCAACCTCAGCGTGACCAATGCTCCCAGCACGCTGCTGTAGGACATGGGCCGGCGATGCAAGGCCACCGCCAGGTGCAATGAGGCTTCATGGCTTGCCATGGCAGCAGCATGGTGCGGGATACCTGGAAGGAAGGACGGAAGGCCAGGAAGGAAGGAAGGAAGGATGGATAGATAGATGTGGCCTACGGGTGGTTGGGGTGTTTAACCAAGTCTACTTGCTGGTGAGGTTTGCTCTCGCCACGTCGCAAATCGAACGAACAGCTGTTCATGTCTATGGCTTGGTGAAATGTGGCTACTTAATGAATCCCATTGGTTTTCGCACGTGCTGCCTGCATACCCAACATCCCACCAGCATCATCTCACCCAGAGATATACCTTCGAACATTCCACCACTAGGTCACTATAGGTCCTAGGTGATGACTACTTGGGTCTCTTTTAGAAGGAATTCTTTGGAGGCCTTGGACCCCACATCTCTTCTGACCTAGCCTTGCACCCACAGGTCCAACCATGCCGTGTCCAACCATGCAGGTCCATTGGCCTTGTGGCAGGTACATGACGTCTCCCTTGGTCAATGGCACCTGACTCGAGAAACAACCCGACCAGCACCCGACTTGAACAGGGCTCTTCTGGTGGCTGAAATGGAGACTTACTGTAAATGTGTCAGGTGGTGACCTGTTGGAGGGTGTTATCATAATATGATGGTGTTGGATAAACATGGATAAACGAATCCCAGGTTTGTAAGGTAAGGTCAACTGAGGACAAAGCAGGAGTTCTGAGATGCAGAATCCCCTTTGCGCGCGCACGGCTTTCGTCAGGCCAAAGAAAGCCACAGAGTGCTTCGACTGGAGCGCTGGGAAGCTGCTTTCGACTGAGGAGGCCAAATCGGGCGTGTTTTTGGAGTCCAATAGATCATTGAGCCCTTTGCGCAACCAACCCGATGTACCAACAAAGGTTGAAGAACCCTAGTTTTAGGAACCTGAGTCGAAAAGTTTTGTGCCATGAATTGGTCCAAGAATTTCTGCAGTGAGAGGAGCTCAAAAGGGGCCGGGGGCTATAGAAGCCCTCTATAGATTGGTGTGGAACATTGTGCAACTCTAAAGTGAGGAGATCCTTGACCTTCGACCTGCGGCTCGAACTGCCACTTTGGCCAGTTCCGGTGGCCCCAAACCGACCTTCCCCTCCTGCTCGGCCCCTCCTCCGGACCTGCTCGCGGATCGTCTGCCGGGCGTCGTCCAAGAGGGTCCAGGTCTTCGAGCCCGCCAGCTGCCTTCGGGACCGCCGAACCGGTGACGGTCAAGAAGGACCGACCCGGGGGAGTCCGACAGATCTCCCACGGTCATCTGATCTGTCCCTTTACCCAGACACTCCATGGGACTGCCATATATGCCTACATTGGGGTGGTGCCAGGGGGTCAATTGATCGGCATATATGGCAGTCCCATGGAGTGTCTGGGTTAGTTACTATGAAGCGAACATTGCTTCTAGTATGGCCAGGGTCGCCCCGTTCGGTTCGCGTCCGATCGCGAACGGTTCGTAGCGATGCACTTGTTAGTGCACTAGCTTGTTACTAGTAGCGATCTGTCCCTTCCCCGGTCTCAAAGACGACGAGGAAAGGTTTATCGTGTTGTGGCCTGAGTTCCACGCCAGTCGAGGATGGGTCTTTCGCATTAAGAAGCAACTACAAAGCATTGGAGAGTTCCAGGCCTCAACAGGTGAAGAGGCCATGGTGGGTACCATAAAATGCAAATTCAATTGCAAAGAACTCCATTCCACAGTCAGCTCATGCCCTCATCCCACTCTAAGACGAATTCTAGATCGACCTAGCTGTCGGGGTTGTGAACCTCCCTTGGTCGCTTCGAGTTCGGCTCCCTGTCAGACCACCAGCTCCTTAGCCCCCTATACTTTCCGCCTAAGCGGGGGTAGCATAGGTGAAGGCCCCTATCATGGGACTTCTGTATGCCTTGTGAGCAAAAGCTAGTCACAGCTAGTCACCTCCTGCCCAGCTCTAAACCGCCCAGCAGGCCCAGCGACAAGACGAGCACATCATGGTCATCCACATGGGGCGGCTTTCCGATGGCATCAGGAGGGGTCAAGTAGGCGTTGATGCCGGAAGAAAGTCCTGAAGACTTTCCTACAGGATCACAAAAGTCAACCCATGAAAATCACCCATATATTTTCGAAGGGGATTTGACTCAAACATTCCGCAATATAAGCACTGCGTGGTGCGCCCGGTGCTCTTCTTGCGTTTCGACCCACGCGTCGCGCCCACGGCGACCTTCCCCGTTCTCCGATCTGGCCCGATCTCCTGTGGCGGCGAAGAGCCTCTGATGCAGGTCGCAAAGGGCAGGAGCTCCCTGCAGCTGTGAGACCACCAAGGTCCAGCCTCGCACGGCGAGCGATCCCGAGGTGCTTGCTCGGTCGAGCGATCCTGCGGCGGGAGGAGCTGTGCTGCATTCTTTCCATTGTCTAGCACTTCAAGGGTCTGATGGAAAAGGAATTAGTAATGGTGATCATCTCCGGATACACAGATCTCACTCCTTTGCCAAAGATGTGTTTCTGCCATGCGTAGTTCGTTAGTTACTCAACTGACTTGACATAGTCACAGTATAACTATATGTCATCCACATTTCTTCACTCCTCCCTCCCTCCCTCTAGCTCTCTCTCTCTCCCTCCCTCCCTCCCTCCCTCCCCAGGTGCTTCAGACACTGGACCTCCTCGGTCACCGTCCGACCCGAACGCCGGGCCTTCGCCGCGTTGCAACACATCGGCGCTGGTCTTCAGCTGGGCGGCGCGAAGGAAGTCGCGGACCTCCTGGGGCTTCAAGGTCTCCTGGAGCAAATGGCCGGTGCCATCGGGTTCGGCCGGTACGGTGCCATGGGGTGGGACCAGCCTCCCAGAACCATGAAGCATTTGAATACTATGGGGGCTCCCATTTGGGTACTATGAACCATGGGAACCACCAAATGCTTGGTGGTTTCTTGGGGGCCTCCCATTTGGGTACGGAATAGGGCCTCCCATTTACATGGTCAACGGACCATCGGCAGCGTGGCAGCGAAAAAGATGTGGCGCCATAGGGGCGTTTTCGTGGTTGATATCCCTCCTGGTGAGGGCAGTTTTGTATAATGTGGACTACCATCTGCTGGCTGCTGGCTGCACACGTGTTGAAACTTAGATCCATGAACTCAGCATCCTGTTAAAGCACTACCGATCTCGGAGCCTTCCAAAGTTTTCCTGTCCTTATACCTTCATGTTCTCTTCTTTCCCAGGATTCGACCCATGGATTCAATCGCCCGAATCCCCCAACAACCATAAAACACAAGCTACTATTATACATTGATACAACTCCAAAAAAACAATTGATACATTGATAGCTCCACGGTCTGATGATCTTTTGGCCTCCTTCCCGAAGCGTCGTCTTCAGCACCCGCCGTCCCGCGCCGTCCCACCGTTTCGTCCGCTCCGTGGTGCTCTCGCGGCGGCGCACCATGGAGACGTCCCAGAGGGCGGGTCTTGCTCCGCGCGGTGAGGCCGACGTGAGCGCTGCCTCGGACGTGAGACGTGGGCCTTTTGGGGCCTGGTGGGTGAGAGCTGAGAATATGAGAGGATATAGGGCATCCAGTGAAAGGGAATAGGGTGGACGGTGCAGGTTTTTCGGGTGAAAAACCACCTGAAGTCAACTATGTGGTTCAAAGTTCATAGTGCAAATGTATGCAGTCAGGGCCTTGGACGGTCATGGGAATGGTTGGTCCTTTTTGGAGGGGAGTTGAGGCCAGGTTCCACAAGCAGAACGGGTTCCAACATGGTCTTCATCTGAGCGATCTGAGATATCTAAAACACTGAAACCCTAGACTTCCATGAAAGTTCCACACATCCGATCCTCCCTCCGTTCCTCGACTTCTTTTTCCATCCTGGCCCAGTTCAGCATCTCCAGGAAGCCACCCGAGGGTCGCAACGGCCGCGTCGAGCCCTGCAAGAACTGCAGGAAGCCGCTGGAACGGCGCTGGCTGTCGACCCTCGCGGGTGCGGGCGCTTGCGTCGGTGCAGGCGTTGTTGGCGCAGGCGGCTCAGCTCGAGGGGCTTTGAGCGGCGGTTCCGGCGGACTTGCAGCACGAAGCCGGCCTGGCGTGGGGTTTTCCTCAAACTCAGGTGTGGATGATGGGAACGTGGCGAACTGGAAATGCCCTTTTGCCAGGTAACATTTGGTCCGGATGCTGGTGCATGGCCAGCTTACGGAAACTTAAGAAGCAAAACGGTCGACGGAACACGAGCAGGGAATCCTTACACTCTCTGAAATAATCATGGAAGTGGAACATGGTCCCTTGGATGAGCGCTTTTCCTCTACAAACAGGTGGTTCTTCACTTCCAGGATGATTTCAGGGAGTGTGGTCATTCGTCATCAGAGATACAGCAATGCAACGCACCATGAACTGTGCATGCTTCTTTTTCCACAGGTCAGCTGCCAGAACCTTCAGATGGCTGTCAGATTAAACGGCAATGGCCAATTGACTCCGCAAAGCTGCGAGTGAGCATGAATCAGAAACCTTTGCGTTTTCACTTCAATCTCGCATGACAAACCATATCATGATGCTGGATGCAGTGATAGTTCGCGTGCGCCAAGGCACAGGTTAGCAAACCCCTGACACTACCCCTGACCTCAGACAGATCCCCGTATTGCCAGGTTGAAAGTTGCCCACATGAAACCAAGTGGCTGCACGCACGCAAAAAGAATGCGGAAGGTTCTATAACTGAACACATACCAGCATACACCAACAGTTCGTAATTCAGGGTAGTGATCTGACTAGACCACACAAGTGAAACAAACCTGTACACATTGAGACGAACATAGAGTGAGCTGTCCAGTTCCAAAGGAATGTTGTTTTGTTAAACCTGATCCTCGACGTTTGGCACCCAACTCCATGGAACTGCTACGTACGAGTACGATGTCCACATCTCATACACAAGTCCCACTCCATGGGACTGCCATACCGCCGTTTTGGAAGGCAGTCCGGACTGGCAGTCCCACACAGGTCGTGTCTGGGATCATTCATTACCGTCTCCTCCAAACCCGGGTCACGGTGACCACTCCACCTGGCGAGCTCGGCGCCCGGCGCTTCGCCGCCCGCGCCGGCACTGCGGGCGCCGATGCGGGCGCCGCGTCCGGCTGCAAGAGGCGGTGCAGGGGTCCCGGGTGACTCGGTCCGGAGGAGAGGCCCAAGGCACTGGACGCAGCAGGGGGTAGCCAAAGGACAAAGATCTCCTGCGGCTGCAGCTGGGAGCCGAGGCTGAGACTAGCGGAGGGAGAGACGAACGTGGAGCGAGGTGCGGTAGATGCTGTAGTTCACGCATGTTCACACACACACACACACACATTCACAAGACTTTTGTGAAGCGAGAAATGGGCCTCATACATGAGAAGTTGGTGCCTAGTCAGGAAAGAACGATGAATCCAACGAGATATTGCCAAGCAAACAGTGCCTTGGATTCATATTATATACACTGCATGAGATCATCGCTGAATACATCTAAATGCTCAAAAGCCCATAAAAGCATGACTGAGCATTCTTCCGGCATTTTGACAAGGGGTTGGTTGTGGTTTGGCATAGTTTAACGCCAGTCCGTCGCAAGTTTGTCACAGAACCAGCGAGATCCTCATATCAAACACACAATTGCTGCTATACAAATGCCAACTGACTAACTGACTATCTATAGATTAAGATAGTATGGAATGGCAAGACTGAAGGTGAACCCTTCTTGAGGTAGACCCTGCCACACCTTCTTCCTTCGCTCCCTTCTTCCTTCGCACGCTTCCATTCGCACCAGTGGCCTGTGACAGCTTGTGGCAAAAGATCGTGCAGCTCATCCCGATCTCGCTGCTTTCATCTCGATCGAGATCCACATGCTGGAGGACCAAGGCCTTCTCTTGGTGAACCGCCAGCACCGTGCCCACCACTGCAGTGTGCGCCTGGACAGGAGAAGGGAAGGCATAGAGACCGTTGAGGGCAACAGCCATATAATATCTTATCGCAACTGCTCCTGGATTTCTAGCCAACCCAGCCCCCTTGAATCCCAAATGCTGAGCTGCAAAAGAAGTGGGAGGCCTGGAGCCACAAGACCCAGGTGGTCAAAGGCATGGGGCCAGGCCTATATATGCCAATATGTACGCATAATTAAGCCACATAGAAGACCAACACCTGTGAGACGCTCAAATGCCCAACATCTCTACACCAACACCGAAGAAAAACACAAAAACACAAATCATAAACGCATGCTAAGCCCTCTTGTCTCCTATAGGCCTTGACAAAGGCCTGCAATGAATCAAAGAATTATATCATCTCTCTTTCTCTCGTCCCTTCTGCTTCCACTCCCTCCAACCACTGTAGACTCTTGATTCATAACCCACCCCCCCATTTGGATTTTCACCACCTCTTCAACCGATGCCAGCGCGCGCGCTATACTCGACTGCCACCGCGCGCTACTTCTCCCGCTCCCACTCCTCTCCTTCGACTCCCAGGAGACCCACCTGCTGGTCCTTCACCGCGGCCCATTGCGCGCCCACCAGGCTCTTCAGTTCACCCTTCCGCTGCAGCTCCGCAAAGAGCTCCTGGCGAGCCCCACCGGAGCGCCGGTGCCCGACCCACGGGTGACGCGGCGCGGTTCGCTGCGGTCAGACGGGAAGGTCGACGTGGTCCACCGCTGAAGCCGAACGAAGATCCAGTGAAGACGATCTGTTGACCGGCTGAAGTGTTCAGGAACCTCCCGAAATCAGGTCCCCGTTCGTCAGAGCATTCTTTTTTTTATAGTCTTTGACTCCCAGGGTGAACATGGATATGAATGAGACCCTCTGCAGTTTGGAACGTTCATGAAGAGCTCCTGCATGTGCTTCTACAGTACCTCCCTTCAAGTGCTTTGTAGATGTGATTATCCTGAATAGGTGTAACGCCACACACGCATATATGGCAGTAGAATGTCCACGCAGCATGAATATCCCATGAGCAGGCCCCAGGAGAAAAGAAACAAGAGCACTTTTTGACATCTGCAAATCGACGAACAACACACAGCGGTCGACGCTTGGACCCTCTTCTGTCTATTGGACGGCCAGGCCCTGCAACTCCTCTGTCAGCAAATTCTGCTGGATGAGTTGCTGCTGAAGGCTCTTGCGGAACTTGAGGCCCAGAGCCTGCAGTGGACGAAGTGCCAAAAAGAGGAGAGCTGATCCTAAAGGGCCCTTGCAAGGGTGCACACAGAATCCTTGAGTCAAGCCCTGTAGAATCTAGGGGTTTGCTATGGGTTTACTTTATAAGTTTGACCCCCAAGAGCCCGGTTCGTGAGCCCCTCCTTGACCTGGGCCCTTGCGGTGACACCAGGCCTCTAAGGACTGACTCTTGATTATATAGCCCCCATCTAGTAGCAAGAAGCTACGAACGTAGCTCCTGGCATTACCACTAGTAGCAAGAAGCTACTAGGAACAAGTGCATTGAAATGGGGGGTTTACTAATCAAGAGTCTCCTCTCTCTCTCTCTCTCTGTGTCCATCTCTTTCTCTCTGCCTGCATCACTTCCTAAGTTACAGGGTCCTATTGGTGGATACAGGGGATACACTAGGGGATACCTACATTCTATACATGACGGTTGGTTTGGTGGAACCTATGCCATCTTGAGTGCATCAAGATGCATCAATGACACTCACCCCCCCTGAGAAGTGGTAAATCATGACTCCAGGTGGGGTATAATGAATCATCGCATGTAATCGCATAAGATCCCTAAGCGTACATAATATAAGTGTGTTCCATTCAGCCTTCTTCCATCCGATTGCCCAAGTGGCGGTGCCAGGTGCCACACGCAACAGTTCTGGAAATTCGTTCACCAAGCGCTGAACGCTCTGCTTCTGGACGGCACGACGGAGGGTGCGACCACCGAGGCAACCCTCTGCTACCCTCTGCTAGTTCAACAGCAATCGATAGGAACACTCCCTTAAGAATCAAAGAAGCGATAACAAGCGCTTTCGGCCCCCAAAGGAGTCTTCGTCCAATGACATCTCATTCGGAAGTTCCCAAGATGCATGTGGCGCCATTTGGTTCTGAAGTCTTCCCTGCCATTTGGTTCGGAAGTCTTCCCTCAGCTTCAAGACGCCTTAAGTGTTGCGCAAATTGGACCGGCAAAGCTCTGCAAAAGAACGATAGGCTTCCAACCAAACGTATCAAAAGAACGACAGGACACACCCAAAAAGTTCTCCACCCCGAGCCAAATCATCGCTCTACGTCGATCTTTTCACCCTTGGGTGGGAACTTCCGGGTTTGGCACTCTCCTTTGGGTTGGAGAGCTTACCCTCTTCGACCCCCGAACCTCCTCCCCCTTACGCCAACCCGAAACCACCGACCCTCGAAGCGCGCGCGTTTGGCGCCTCCTCCTCGCTGCGGCGCGCGCCCAGCGACGCCTGCAGCCCGCCGCGGTTCAGCTTGCAGCGGGTCTTCGCCTCGCAGATCCGGTGCGTCGGACTCGGTGTGGGGGAGAGTCGGAGGGGGGGGGCGGGGTCTGATTGCATATAGGGGGGTGTTAATTCGTCATATTATACCCAAACACTCCATGTATGTCGTTTTTTCGTGGAAAAAGATGCCGTGCAGAGCTGGGGTCCCCAAGGTGGAGACCTTTTAAGTGTATACAATCCCAAACACGACCCGTCTGGGACTGCCAGATATGGCGATCAATTGACCCCCAGACCACCACCCCAACTGATCGGCATATATGGCAGTTCCATGGAGTGTCTGGGATAGGTCAGTTCAAGTCACTATCAATAGTGATTCCAACAACTGCAATTGCAAGAGAGAAACTCAAGGAGTGGGCATCTATCACACGGTAGGCACCTCGGGGCACGATCCATCTCGCACCCTCCGAATCGCATGGTAATTGGATGTAAACGGATGTTCCTCTACCTGGACCCTCTAAGGGGTGCCCAATGAAAGCCTATATAGGTAGTGTGGGGTAGTTCATTGGACACCCCTTGGAGGATCCAGGTATATGAGCAAAGTGCATCCTCCACTTCCTCATGTGATGCGTTCGTCCGTTCGTGGAAACCACCCACCGCCGCATCGACCGACTCAAACAAACGGTTTCCCGGAGTCATAATGTGGAGTTGGATGGTTTGGGGTCCCCCAAGTGAGTGGATCTTCGTTCGGACTTCCTTCCTTCCTTCCTTCCTTCCTCCGTTCGTTACCTCGGCACCGGGTGACTCACCTGATTCGGATGATTTCGGATTTCATTTTGCTTCAAGGGCCCCTATCAGCTCAAAAGGAGATGAAGTGATCCTGTGAGTCATGCGAAGGGGGCCCATTTCCAATGTTCCACTTTCCTAGTACAGTAGCTTCTTGCTCCTAGAGCGTACGGCCAGGAGCCCCTATACAGTATAGCTTCTTGACCCCATGCTTCCAAACACCAAGGAATGTCATGCGGCTTCGACCGCACCCCCTGCCCCGGGCCCTCCGCACCGACAGGAAGCGGTAGCGCAGCAGCGCCCCGTCGTGGCGGAAGAAGCGCGCGGAGCGTTCCACGTCCTCGTGGCCGTCGCCGAAGCGGATGCGCAGCTCCTCGCCGGTGGCAGCTGGGGCTTGTTACTAGCAATGCCAGGAGCTACGTTCGTAGCTTCTTGCATCATAGTAGCGATGCCCTTTGTTCCTAGTAGCTTCTTGCTACCTACTTGCGATGGCCTCTAACCTACTTGCGAGAGCCTCCACCCAATAGTGCCCATATATGAAGGAAAGTCCGCAATCTTGAGTGGCCAGGTGTTGTTTGGGTGCTCGGTTGCTGTGCTCGGTTGAGGTGGCGGCAGCAACGACTTGTCCAGAGAATCTGTCTGCTCCTCAGTCACCTTGATCACCTGATATCACCTGAAACATGTCCCTAATTAGGGCCCCAGTCGTACCTTTTCCTTTCTTAGAAGGTGTTTGGGGTGGCTTTTGGGAGGGCTGCTGCGCTCCTCCTCCTCCTCCTCCTCCTCCTCAAGTGTCACCATGTCGCACCCGACCTCCAACACCCAGCACCGCAGGAAGGTCTCCTCTGCATGACGATTGATGCAGCCCCAGAAGAAGCCGTTGCAAAGCCCATTGCTCAAGTCGATGCCGTGCTTCATGAGAAACGGATTGTGGCTCACCTCACGGAGGCTGTCAGCAGCCCTATCGAGGCACCACAAGGAGGTCCCTGACATGATTCATCATGATTCCATGTATGTGACCAGGGATATTGCTGAAACTCGAGTGACTCCTGTGGTGCAGAACATTGCCAAACCCTCCCCCAAGACATAGCATCTTCCACACCCGGCGTAGCAACTTTCAAAGTCCAGGGGTTCCGTCGCCGTCGCATGCCGCTGCATGCCGCTGCAGTCGAGGCACATTCAGCGACCACAGGAAGGCTCCAGCCTTGGCCATTCGTTCCTTGGCATCTCGTGCGATGCTGTCCAGGGCGCCGGCGGAGAGCGCGACCAGCTGCGCCTCTGTTGAGGAAGTGGACTCACAGGGCTGGATAGTGAAGAGACCCTCCACATCGTCGTCCATCGAGATGATATGAGTCCCTTCCTGAGGCACGAACGCTGCATGGCAATTCGAGAAGCAACGGAACCGTTCCCCTATGCCAGTGGATTCACCCCCAGGTTGGGGGTAACATGTACCACCCGAAATGCCCCGGCAAAGCGAAGTGGTTGGAGCAACCTTGCAGAAAAGAATGGAGATGGTGCTCAAATGTGATCAACAAGATCTCTCCTCTCAGCTCTCAGTGATCCTGTGCGTCAACGGCTAGCCAAAACACATATGGTCATATGGCTGTGGATCATGGCACCGGGAGCCCTCAATCCTGGGTAGTCACAGACCATGTCTGGTCGTCTATTCTCATCAACTCAGTCGTGCCATGATCCACTTGAGGCCGAGGGTAGGTGACGAAAGCTAGCAGGGGTGCATCTGTGTCAGAGGCGAAGCCTACAGCGCCGTCCAAGCTTTCGTGATAAGAATTCTAAAGCAACTCCCAAGCTTCTTTGAACCATGAAGTGATGAAGTTCCGCTGCCGCCAAAGTCCCAACTCTCCAATCACGATGTTCCCCCAGTCTTTCCCAACAGCTTCTTGGTAGAGCTGGTGCTCGGCTGCATTGGCCACGAAGATGTACACGTGTTGCTTGGGCACTCCTTGCTGCTCCAGTAGTGCTAGAGTCTTCAGCCTCAAGTCCTCTGGACGTTGGTAACTGGGGATGGCCACGTAGAAACCTTCATCAACCGCAGGCGGCTCCACCGCAGGCGGCTGATGCATGGCCCAGCGACGTGCTCTGTGCACATCGATTCAAGCGGAGGTTGGTCGCTCTGATGTCGCTCTGATGGCGTCAGCTATTGTGGGCTATTTGGGGGCTATTGGCGCAGCCCACAAAGCATCAAGAACGAACAGTCGATGAAGCTCAGTGTCTTTCGGGGTCCCATCAGAATCAAACGCTTGAGGGGGTTCACTATCTAATCTTCCCTCTGAGCCTTTTGTTTTAAGTTAAATTGTTGCTCAATGCCCCATATGTTTTCATGTTCCAACCTGCTTTCAAGAATCGATTGCCCTCTCTTGTGATTCTGTCCATTGCCGCACCCCCAAAGGTGACATTTTGGGAATCGCACTGTGTCTCAGCGTGAGGCCCCTCTCCTGAGCCTGTATGACTGCGCAGTTCCCACTCGGCCCGAAGCAAACGTGCCACTTTAGGATGTACCCAAACGCTCCGTTCACAGCCCAACTGGTCCCTCAAAACCTCGGGAATTGAGACCCCAGACCCCTCCAAAGGATTCGGGTCCGACCCCTCCATATTTTCGGGCCCAGGGTCGCATCCGGGTAGTGATCCATAAACTGACTGAAGACCGAACAACTCACTTGCTCCATTCTTCCCTTTAGCCAACTTCCCCTCGCTGTGTGGCCGTGTGGCTGCTTTTTTTTTCCTCCTTCTGGGCCACCACACCAAGTACTCCTTCTGAGCAGCTTCAGGGTCATAGCCGTCCAAAAGCTGCAGCAAGTCCTACCCAGCCGTAGCCGCCCCAAACATGGGACACACCCTGGCCGTCGCTGGGTCTCCCGGCGCTGTCCCGAAGCGACTCCAGGGGGGTTGGAACCTCCCATGTCCCAAACACTCCATGGGACTGCCATATATACCGATCAGACCAGGGGTGGTGGCCTGGGGGGTCGCCATATATGGCAGTAGTCCCAGACGGGTCGTGTCTGGGTGTCTTCAGCTACACGCCCACATCATGTGAGATCCACTTCATCCGCAACCCGCCAGACAAACGACGCCGTCACTGGCATGACCGTCGCTGGATGAGACAGAGCAAAACGGCATGCACGGTTTGGATGGCTTGGACTGTAAGGGTGTCAGTTCAGAAACTTGAAGAACACCGATTCCAGCTCGTCATGGGAGCTTTTACCCATACACTCCATCATAATGGAATCTACTGGTATTATACATTGATATACCAGGACCCTCCTGTCGGGGTGTCCTGGCTGAACTACCCCACACTACCGCACTAGGCTTTCAGACAGGGCACCCCGACAGGAGGGTGCAGGTATTATATGATATTATATGGCAGTCTCATGACATGTCCGGGTACGTGTTGAGTCTTTTTGGCAAAGGTTGAAACATGGCGATGGAGAATGCAGGAGCGGCTCCGATCAAAACACCTCTTGGATTCCAGATTCGTTGATGAGCGCCATGCAAACCACCATCAATACGGAGGGCAGGTCGGGCAAGTAAGCTTCTGGACATCTATATTCATTTCCACACGGTTTTAGTTGATTCTCCCTCCGGCCAATGGAACCTCAAAGTGTGGGACTGTACCTATGGCCATCTCCCTGAACCCACCACGGGCCGAAGCGCCTCACGCGCCGCCGGCAACCACCCAAACCTCCACCACGACGGGCAACCACTCGAACCACCGAGCCCCGCGGCTCGCGCTGGCGCTCCTCAATGCCAAAGGCCACGCCCAGACTTTGGGGGCGATGCCAGACCCAGTCCCGGCCGAAGGCCGAGTCCTGTAGGACCGTGGAGGCGGGGAGGAGAAGGCGGGGAGGAGGGCTGGTCAGGTGGGTTTGAAGCACAAATGGCGTTAAGGCCGTAAGAGGTGCTCAATGGAGATCCAGTAGTTGTTGGGCTAGTGATACTGTTGATGGACGAAATCCTGCACCGCCCAAGCAAGACACTTCACACAGGTTATAGAGCAGCCCCCATGCCCCCCCATTCAATGTTGGCACTATAGGTCGCAGTAGGTGGTGCAGGATTTCGGACTTTCGACTTTTTCTCTTTTTGGACGAGCGCCGGCCCAATGTTAAAGAGGGAGCGCGAGGGCAGGAAGACGCACGGACACAAAGTGGTGCAGGATTTTGTCCATCAACCGTCTGGACTCAGCAGTTTGCTCAGGTTTTCTCTGCTCCATCTGTTGTGCTCCATGTGGAGTCCCTGGTCTGTCTTTCCTTGTCCACTTCGATGTCTCTGTCGGTTGCGTGTCTCTTGTGGGGAGGGTGTGTGGTGACAGGTGACAAGGTGTGTTGTATGTAGTCTACGCACACACAGACACACACACACACACACGGGCGCACGTGCTGTTCACAGGGCTTGGCCGTAAACATGGTGTGTTCGTGACTGGATCGTGGCTCAGCTGCTCAAGACTGATTCTGTCTCCAACCATTCCTGTCACCGTTCCGTGGGTCATGCCGGCGGCTGGTTGGACCAAGCTGTCTCTGGCCGAGATCCGGTTGGCCACTACATGGTATGAGAACGGTGACTCTTGTAGTGAGATTGCTGACAAGCTGGGCCGCGATAAGTCTGCAGTCACCCGACTTCTAGTCAAACAGGTGCCTCGGCAAAAGCAAGGTCGCCCACCGCAGTTGCCGCAAGCAAAAGTCCAGTTTGTACGTCGCAAGCTGGGTCAACTTGTTCGTAAAGCTGCCTGCCAGTACACAGTGACAGTCTCCATGTTGAAAAAAGCCTGTAAACTGCAAGTGTCCGAAAAATGCATTAGTCGAGCTTTGCATGCACAGGGGGTGTTCTTTTGCAAACTCCGCGAAAAGCCAATCCTCACTGCCGAGGATGTGAAAGCCAGATTAACCTTCGCCCGGAAATACCATTTGAAATCCAAGTGGTGGTGGTCCAACCGTCTGGATGCAGCTATAGATGCTAAGTTCTTCTATTCATGCCTCACCGGTGATGCTCGGCTGCGGGCAGCGCAGCGCGCCACTTTCGGTGCCTACCGAGCTCCTGGAGAAGGGCTGGATGCAGGGTATGTGAAAGCCAAAGGCAGTCTGAACTACAACACAGGTGCCCGAAGCCTTCTCGTCGTCGGTGGCGTCGGTCATGGCAAGGTCTTGATGTGGCACTCGGTGCCCAACAGCCGTTGGAACGGCAAAGCAGCCGCCGACATGTACACCAAGAGTCTTTTGCCAGGTCTGAAAGCCACTTGCCCGGGGCAGACACGTTTCCAGATCCTTGAAGACAACGACCCCAGCGGTTTCAAGTCCAAACGTGGCACTGCGGCTAAAGCTGCCTCCAAGTTGCGCGTGTTGGAGATTCCTCGTCGCAGCCCTGATTTGAGTGTCATGGACTACGCCATTTGGAGTGAAATCAACCGCCGCATGCGGCGACAAGAACAGAAATGGCCCAAGAGCAAACGTGAGAGTCGCTCCCAATTTGCAGCGCGACTCCGCCGCACAGCTAAAAATTTGCCAGCTGCTTTCATTCGCGCAAGCATGGGCGATATGCAACGGCGCTGCAAGCGCATCCTCGCTGCCAAGGGCGGCTTCTTTGAAGAGGGTGGAAAATGACACGGATCTGCGTGCACACGGCCCAAAAAGTGTGTCCTGGCCTGCGCGCGACGCACACCCGTGCTGCTGTGCAATACACACACAGCTCCACAGTGCTCGCACAGTGCTCCAACAGTGCTCGCGACAGTGCTCCAAGCAAGGAAACCTGAGAAAAAGCAGCATTTTTAGCGTTTTGAGTGGCAAAACTATAAAATAGATGTATTTCACTCTTTCTTCAGTAGTTCTACACTCCTGTGGCCAAATCCTCAGTTTTTACAAGGTTTTGGGGCGCGGGCACTGTCCGGGGCACTGTTCGAGCACTGTGGGAGCACTGTAGGGCACTGTGCACACCACATGCTGTGTGTTTGTGTGCGTGTGTGTGTGTGGGTGTGCGTGTCCCGTCTCGGTGCGTGTGTGGCTCTGTCCCGCTGTCGCATGTCCAAGGCCATTTGCTTCCAACGCATCTGTGTCCGCCGTGCCTCGTCCTCGCTCGTCCGCCACGTGTCCCCATGTCACTTCCAAAATGACCTCGTCGACCCGTCTCTGCGTAGCCGTTCTGCCCAAATGTCCTGCGAGCTGAGCACTCCAACCCGGCGCTTGCGCCGCAAGACGTGGCTGGGCTTTCATGTAGTGGAGGCGCCGGCGGGGGCATTCAGCCAGCATGATGTCACCGGCCTCCTGGCAGAGGAGCTGGAGACTGAAGTGGACAGCGCGCAGAAGTCCGTGTACCTGGTGACCCTACCTGCCCTGAAGCCTGGAGCGGCCGCTCGGGGCTACGTCTCCCCAGCGGCGTGGTCGCACGCTGAGGTCTTGCGGGTGTTTCTGAGTGTCTTCCAGCAGAGGCAGCCTGAAGCTGAGAAGGGTGTGGAACTGGAATGTGTGACCGTCTTCCGCGAGCGTCATGCAGCTGGCCAGTATCACTGGCATGTGGCCCTCAAAGCTTCACGCAGCTTTCGGTGGCATGGCTACAAGCGGGCTTTGCATGTGGAGCACGGCTTGGCCACTCATTGAAGCAGTTCACACACTGGGTACTGGTCAGCGGTCCGCTACGGAGTGATGCCTTCACCGCAGAAACCCCTGGAGGATCTGGACGTCAGCCCCCAGTCTTGGGCAAAAGCAGGGCCGCACCCTGACCTCTTTGAGGTGGCGCAAGAGCCCGTGACTGCGGCGGCCTTGTCACGCAGGCGGGAGAAGAAGGTCAAGGACGCGGCAGCTACGGGGAAGCCTGAACCACGCCCCACAGAAATGGACTTGTACGCGGTGATTGTGAAAAATGGCTTCAAGAACACTCCGGATGATGCCAATGCAGCTGCCAGGCTCATAGCCTATCTGAAAGTGCATGGCACTCCTGCCTTGGTGTCGTTTGCCTTCAAAAACCGCGCCAAGCTGCCTGCGCTGATCGACGACGTGTGGTCCTGGGAGAAGGTGGAGGATTATTTGGAGACCCATGCCAAGTGCCGCTTGGACCAGCTATACGCTGCAGCGTCAGCTGCGTGCCAGTGCCACGGTCGCTGGATGCCGCGTGCTTTGCTCTCCTTGTCCTGCAATGGTGTTCCAGCAGAAGCCTTCTGCAAAGATGTCTTCACGCTTCTGCGGGATGGTCGCCGTGCTGACGTCCCGGTGATGGTCCTCATGGGCCGCTTCGGCGGCGAAGGGAAATCCTTCTTGCTGGCGCCCCTACGACCCATGTATGGACAAGCCCACATTCAGGCCACACCACAGCGTGGTTCCTTTCCTTTGCTTGGGTTGGAGAGCAAGAAGGTCGCCCTCCTGGACGATTGGTGCTTCGATGAAAGTGTCATTCCGCTGCCGACGCAGCTGCTCTGGTACGAGGGCAAACCTTTCCCGCTACCACGACCACAAAACAGCAACCAATATAGCGGCCACCTTCTTTACGAGGGCTCTGCGCCGATTTTTGTCACGGTCAAGGAAAAGGACTTGGGCCCCCTCCAGGCGCAAGCACAAGTGGCCTTCACGCAAGGCATACCTTCCGAGCACACTATGCTTCTTCGGCGCCTGCGCATCTACCGGTTCACCCGCCCGCTGCCGCAGGCGGATGGGCATATCCTCGATTGCCCCGTGTGCTTTGCGCAAATGATCTTGCGCTTTGCGCTCTGACGCTTGCTGCTGACATTGCCTCGTCTTCCAGTCCAAAAATGTCTTGCGCTCTTTCCTGCATGGACCCACCTGTTTTTCGGGTACTGTTGATGGACGAAATCCTGCACCGCCCAAGCAAGACACTTCACACAGGTTATAGAGCAGCCCCCATGCCCCCCCATTCAATGTTGGCACTATAGGTCGCAGTAGGTGGTGCAGGATTTCGGACTTTCGACTTTTTTCTCTTTTTGGACGAGCGCCGGCCCAATGTTAAAGAGGGAGCGCGAGGGCAGGAAGACGCACGGACACGAAGTGGTGCAGGATTTTGTCCATCAACCGTAGGGCATTGTAGGGTAGTCTGCTGCGACACCTGGTGGGAAAATTCGATCGCTTGGAATATACAGTGCTCCTCGCCAATCGAGGCCGCCACATTGTTCTGTTGCGTGCCACCCATACAAGTGATGGTGTACGCGATGTCATGACTTGTGGCCATGTCTAATCGCCGAAAGGCCTCAAGCTCATGGCCACATGATCCCTCCAAGTCACCCTTTTTTGGCGCACGGTCTGGGATGCCATTTCGGAGCCACAGCTCAACGATTAGGTGGTTCAACATGTGGCTCAACGATTCGAGTGAGGCAACGGACTAAGGTTCTACATGGTTCTACATTACATCAATTAAGCATCGAAGCTCTCAGTCCCTGCGACGAACTAGCTATTCCAAATACCATCTCATCATCTGTTTATGACTATGAACACCCTCCCATCCCTTGGCACATTTCAAGAACAAGCTACTTCCCAATCATTCCCTTGAGTGAACCCAGGCTGCCATATCACAAAACAATCAGCCACCCCAATGAAACCAGCCCTCCTAATGGGACATGCTACATCAAAGAGCTCCCACATCCAACCACAATGAAGTTCCACCATGCATATTGCACTCCCTGAAACAATCATGTGGCCCCTTGGAAGACGCTTTTCCTCTATCAAGAGGGGGTGCCATCCACTTCCATTATATAAACCTGATAGTCATGATGCAACAACTGCATCGGCGTCCCCGTCCTGCAGGAAGGATGCATCAGTCACCTCCAACAAGCGCCCCAGGCACCACCGCGATGCTTCCGAAACAGGCGAGGCCCGGCCTGTGCCAGGTCGTGCTTGTGCACCGGTCGCGCTGGGAGGAGAGGGAGGGACATGAGGTTCAAGAGTTTGTGTCTTTTTTGGACCCCTTCTATTCTATGGCCCATCTAGATTCTAGTTGGGTCAAGATGTCGGAAGTTTCTGATGTGCCAACATCATAGTTTTTGTCACCACAAACTGCAAAGCCAGACTCTAGACCGTCAGTTGCCCGACGTAATGTCCGTAATGTGCCTGGGCAGGGCCTCTTTTCCGCGCAGATCATCTGCTTCACGCAATCTCGGCCTGGTCGGCGCTGGGCGGCGCTCTCATCTTCCAGCAGATAAATCTTCATGAGGTGATCTGCAACTGGGTTGGCCTTTGGGCCTCGCCGAAAAATGTTTTCTCATTTGGCCATTTGGGGGTTTGATGCATATATACTTATAATAATATAGACGGAACTGGACATAAGTGGACTATTCTTCATCTGCCATCATCTCTGCTACACCCTTGAAAACCATCTCCCACCCTATGGATCCACATCATGCCCTCCTATCGCAGGTGATTGGAGACATCTTTTGGTTGGCGCCAACTCCGGGCGCCAGCTCCGTCCACGGCGCTGGCGAGCTTGGCCTTCATAGTCCTCCTGGAGGCCATGGGAATAGGCTAACCTAAGTGATGCCGTGGAGTGGATTGGCCTGGTCTGCAGCGAGCGAGCGAGCAAAATTCGCTGCTTCGATGGGCGCCGATTCTCGCGATGCATCAGCAACCATCCCCAAAAAAGGAACCGAAGGGCAAAAACAACGACGTGCCACTGGAATGACCTGCATCATGTAATGCACCGGTCCTCGAATTGGGGAGAAAGTAGGAACAGCCTGCAAAAGCAACAGGACTTGGAAGAGAGCCTGGTGCCTACAGAGGTTAAGTGACCTTATAGGACCCTACAGGGGTTAAGTGACCTTATAGTAGCCTTATAGGTTAAGTGACCTTTAGTGACCTTATAGGATAGTCTAGCTCGGGTTCTTCAACCTCTGCTGGTGTTCTTCATCGAGTCCTGGGATGTGAAGAAAACGTGGGGGGTGGATGGTCACAGGGTTTTCCTGCTTACTTGCCACTTGCAAATCACGGTTGCCTGCCCTCCCAAGCAACCCCACACCTCCCTACAAAGGTTCTTATAAAGCTCCTGACTCCTAACATCTCCTAACCCTTACAAACCTTGTGACTAGTACATACATCCACTTCTACAACCCTCTCCACTCCCAACTTCTATCCCCTGGCCAAGTTAACACGGTGAAGCAGTCACTCGTGGCCTCCAAAAGCTCATTGGCCCTCAGGAGACGCCGCTGGGCCTCAGTTCTTCGCGACGAGGGCGTTCCAAGCGGTTGAACCGCGGAGTTCTGCGGAGTTGGCGGCCGATTCTGGTGCCGAACTGGTGTGGAGACCAATCCAAACATGACATTGCCAGGGGGTGGTGTGGGTGGGGTGGATGTTCAGGATTTTTGGCGTGGAGAGAAGGTGGAAATTGGAGATCAATGCCTGTATCTTCCGACTGTGCAACATGTCATTGCTGCATATGTGTTGCCTTGCGGTTTTGTGGATGCAGATCCATGAGTTGTTGGAGTTGATCTTGCATCCTGCCAAGAGGGGTATTGTTGCACCTAAGACAAAGACTTCAACGGCGCAAACAAAGAAACACCCCCTCGGCGGGACAAAGAAACACCCAACACCCCGTGGACCCTTTCTCCAGTCCTTCTGAATCCATTTCACCGCGGACCCCGGTTGTCCCGTCCGGAACGCTTCCTTCCGTCCCAACCTCGTCCCGCCTCGGCATCCTTGGGCGTGGCGAAGTGTTCGTTCCCCTGAGCCCAGGACTCGAAGATCAGCAACCCTTTGGGCTTTAGCAGCTGCAGCAACCTCGGCCCAACCCAGCTGGGTCGACTGGGCCCCAACCGGCTTCGACGGAGCGGCTCGGTCTACTGAGGCCTCCTCGTCCGCTGCGAAATCGGGTGATGAGGGTCGCATGGGGACCAGCCGCGCTCTGTGGAACAGTGCGGCGTTTGGGGCGTTTTTGGGGCCGCCATGACTGTTTTTGGCCTGTTCAATATCGCCCACCATGGATCCTGTCGTGTAGGTTGGAGGCCACCGCTCTTAGGTTACAGGTTGGACCATTACTACTATAGTAACAATTAAGAAGCTGTAGCTAGAAGCTACTAGGTTGGAGGCCATCCCTAGTAGTTTGGAGGCCATCGCTAGTATCGCTACTCGGGTCCGCTCGCTCCTTCACGTCGAGCCGCTTCGGGAGCAAGGACCGGGAGGCGTAGTTCACCTCGGCCATCGAGTTCGACGGTCGAAGGAGCTGAGGTCGGTGTCGGCTAAATCATGCGAAAAGCCTTCAAGCTCTCGGGCGTTCAGTTGGACCCAGTCAGGACGGTTGGACCCAGTTGAGAATTGAGGTTTCGGAAAGGGCCAACCGATATCTGTTGTTTTCGAAACGTGGCAATTCTCGCGCATATGGTGGTCCCATGTGATCCCTGTGTCATTGAAATAGCACAACCCGCCAAAAAAGCACACGCACACAGGGCATCCAGTTCTCTTTTGAACCCATGCAGTCTCCGCTTCCTTCTCAAGAACTGAAGCGGAGACCGTGGACGTGGCTTAAGGTACCAGCAGTCCTTTTACACCAAGAGCAGGGGGGGCCCCAGATCCAAGAAGGGGCCCGAGGAGTCCCGGGTCACTGCGCCCCATCAATCTCATCCTCGTCTTTCATGTTATGAGCTTGATGGCACCTGCAGCCCTAAGAGCTACCCGGGGGCAGGATGCACGCACGCTCACAGCCAAGTTCAACACGATCCAATTCAATGCATTAAACGGCCGGCGGACCAAGGCTGCTCAGGTGCAAGTTGCGGACGTAGCTGCGGACGTAGTTGCGAAGTAGCTATAGCTAGCTGAAGCTTTCCAAAATTCTTGAATGAATGACATGCAACTCTAAGACTTCTAACATCTTCAAACCACCATTGGCTTTGAACAACCGGTGTTTTACTAAGGATTCTTCTCTACAAAACCAGGTCAACCCATTACCGTATGTGAATGCTCGCCGTGGGCACCCCCACCACCAGCAGCACGTCGAAGTGGCCGAGCGCCCCAACGTCCTCCGCCTGGCCATCAACCCGCGGCTCTACCAGATGGACCCAACATGATGTCTGCAAGACGATTCTCATCTTACCCAGCTCCGTCATGCTCCGTCCCCACGCAGCGCGTAGGTGCCAGGCGCCCCCGCCCCCAACGCGACGAACGCGTCCTCCAGATCCATCGAACGAATCTTCAGCGTCCCCTTCTCCACGGCGCCGCGTTCTCGCTGTCGAAGTGTGTCCAAGGCCTCGCCATCCAGGTCCACTGCCGTGACCTCGACGTCTGTGCGACGCGACGGCGAGGCTTCGGGTATGGAAGGATTTTATGCTGCCCCATTGACCCCATGAGCCTCTGAGCCCCCCCAATGTAAATGGTGAATAACATGCCAGGTCCATAGTCCATGGGAGTTTTTCCTCTACTCAATGACCAGTGCCGCAGCAAAGCTCCTCAGCATCTATATCACTTTCCTCAAGCCTTCACACAAAAATAGACCAGGCCAGCTGCCTCAAGCCAGCCTTTCCTCCAGGCCAGCTGTCTGCAGACCTCTCCCGTCCGAAAAAACCGCTTCACCTGGAATCCCATCTCCAGCAGCATCAAGCTGTGTCGCCCGCGGCCGCAGCCCACGTCCAGTGCCCGCGGAGGCTCCGAGCTTGCGGAGCTTGCCGCACAGTCCACGAGGCGCTGCAGCCGCGCGCGCTGCGCCTGGTGGCCAAGGAGGAGCTTCTTGTGACTAGTAGCTTCTGGTTACTAGTAGTAAGAATGCTCCTATAGTAGTAAGGCCAGGAGCCCCTAGTTCCTTGCTAGTAGTAGGCCCCAAAAGGCAAAACGGAGACTGACTGACTGGATCTGATTGACCGACTGACTGAGCCCCAGATTCGAGTGATGCATTGGGCAAAAGCTGTCTTGGGGTTTCTAGCAAAGCACGCGCGGGTATGCGCGGGTGCTCTTCAAGAAAGTGTGGAAGAAGTGGTGGCATTTTCAATGTCAATGTATCTTGCCGGTGGCAACTTGTAGGTCATTGACACCCGCTTCCTTTTCATGTTGATGGGACTGATGGGAAGTGCCGTTTGATCCACGGGTTTCATGCCCAAACAGCCCCCAAGGACCTACCTGGACCCTCTAAGGGGTGCCCTGTCTGAAAGCCTATAGGTAGTGTGGGGTAGTTCATTGGACACCCCGACAGGAGGGTCCTGGTATATCTATATTGATTGCGTCCCACACTTTCTGGAATCATCAGTGGGGTGAAAACCACCGAAGAGTCTCTTCGGATTGAATATGGATCATCTACGGAACCCGTTTCGAATGCCAGGGAGTGTACCCTCTCCAAGCGAATCAATGCCTCCGGCCTCCACCCAGGGTGATGCAAAGTAGCGCCGCGCCATGCCCCACGTGTTGGGCGGCCAAGGAGAGGCGTGCACAGTCTACATGAGGGGATCGAAGCAAAGAGTGTGATCCAGAAACTGACCAATGGGCTTTGATGGTCCCCTTTTCGGACCCTTGCTCCTCCAAGCCCTTCGGATCATGGGCTGTTCCAAGCATTCACCTTTTGGCGCCGTCCCCAGGTTTTTGGCAACCTCTTGATCGCAAAAAAGGCATAACACGTCCCTCCGCCAAAGAGATGAGCCAACCCCTGGATGTGCTTGGACGTACCTGGAGTCTCAATTCGTACCTCGGACAATGGATACAACATGATACCTGGACCCTGAAAGGGGTGCCCTGTCTGAAAGCCTAGTGCGGTAGTGTGGGGTAGTTCAGCCAGGACACCCCGACAGGAGGGTCCTGGTACAGTCCACCGTTTGTTTTTAAATAGGGTGTCCAATGGAGGTCCCTTAGTAGTGTTGGGGCTTCCATTGGTGACCCCTTTTTTAATAGGGTGACGGTCCTCGGTCGCTCATGATTCTCCACCTGGCTCAGTTAGGCTCAGGCTTCGAGCCTGAAAGTGAGCGAAACATGTGGATAGTGGATTGCCAAATGTTGCCATGAAGTGCCATGAAGGAGTAAAACCATGAAAACCAGTGAGCCTTCAGCCCTCAGAACTCCCAATGCCTCATGATCCTCATTCTTTCCCCCCCTCGTCATGGATCCGCACTTCTAAGAAGTCGTACAGGTCAGTCATGCGTCTCCAAGGACGGTGGATCCTAAGGCCTGGCTCACCTTCGGATCCACTCCGGCTCCCGACGTGGAGGACCGCCCCCGACGGATTGACCCCCTCGGTCTGCTGCGAAGGACCGAAGACCAGTCAGCAGAGGTGGGTCAGGACCCGAACGTTCGACGCTCCCAGTTCGGTACGCCCGGTTTTCCGGGTCCGAACGTGACCTGGTCACTGGCTACCTCTCTTGACCATCGGGATGGTGAATGGACATCCCGAATCACCTCTAAGGAGCTAGAATTGGACACCAAACAGGGGGCCCTGGTAGACATGGAACCTTTTCGAAAGGACCGAGACTGGGAGATCAGTTTCCAGTCGCACCAACCCATCGTGTGGGATTCCGCTCTGCAGGGGTCGTCTAGGCTCATGACTTGGGCAAGTCCTCCTCACCGTGTTGTAGACCGGTCCTTGAAATGAAGTGGAAGACCACCTGCTGTTTGCAAAGGACAGTCATCTGAAACTCGGGGAGTGTAACCGAGTTAAAGCCCTGCAGAAACAGTTCATGATGGCACTCTCTTAGGTTTCCATGGCACCGGATGTTTTCATGGCACATCGTGGCAACCCCACGAGGTGAATGGGGTCCCGACTCGACCCAAAATTGGTGGCAGGTTGTGGCTGGTAGTTGACGAACCGAGGTTCTCCAACCCAAACACTCCATGGGACTGGCATATATACCGATCAGGCCAGGGTGGTGGTCTGGGGGGTCTGGCTTGATCGGCAGTCCTATGGCAGTCCCAGGTCCGGGTCGTGTCTGGGATTGTATACACTTAAAAGGTCTCCACCTTGGGGTGTGACCTGCTCTGCACGGCATCTTTTTAGGTCGTGGAACTGGGCCAAACCACCGCTCGTCTGAGAGAATTGGAACTCCGATCGTTCTGAGGTCCATCGTCCGGTCAACGTCTCCGTCTCCGCTCGGGGTTCCCGGTCCTGTCGGGTCGCATGAAACGAGCCTGGCCGAGTCGCAGGAGGCGGCGAGTGGTCCGGTGTCGAGGCGGTTCTCCAGGCGGTTGGAAGGGGGCGAAGGGAAGGTATATTGTATTTGTAATTAATACTATACCTAGATCTTCCAACTATGCAAAGTTTCCGCCTTTTAGTGTATAAAATTAGCCAAAAGGCATACATTTTGCATAGTTGGAAGATCTAGGTATGATCAAGGTCAGTTCTCAGGTGCGAGTTCTATATGAAGTTCTCTCTCTCATACCTTTATAATAGACTCCAATTCCCTAAGGAACCCGGGAACCAATATAACCAATGGGAACTCCATCACCCAAAGCTGCTGCGACATAGACGTGACCACTGAGTCATCCTTTGGACCACAGCCGAGTGATGAGTGACTGATGCGCCAGTCCAGTCTGAGTCCAAACTCTGAAGCTCCCCAAACCAACCCGCCTGCCGGCGAGCCGGACGCGGCAAGCACATGCACGGGCGAGCAGTACCTCTGCCCCGCCTTGTCGAAGAAGAGCTGTACCGAGCCGTCCGAGCAGCCCGCGACGATCTTCTTGGCGTCCGTGGGAGAGTAGCAGCAGCAGGTGGGGAAGAGTCCCCCCTGCCTCAGGTCGTGCGAGGGGTGGGTCACAGGGGGTGACCGTGCTGGTGTGCCGGTGGCATGTTATGGCCCAGCGGGATGCTTATATCAAGTATGCCACCCTTCCACGGGGTGTCTAAATTATATCTGCTTAGAGGTGATTCGGGGTATCCATTAACCACCCCTGACCGGGGGCCCTGGTGGGGAACGTGTTCCATAGCTCACACTCCAACCGGAAGCATTCTCCAGGGCACTTGCCCGAGCCGCCACCGACGCACACATTGCGCTTGTCCACGGTCTTCAGCACGTGGACACATGGCAGCTGTTGATCCATGCCAACAGGGTCTGCAGTCCTGAAGTTGGTCAAATTCAAACCGGAGAACTCCGGTGTTGACCGGTGTTCCAAAGCAGTCAGTCCGGAATCGAGTCCAACCGGGTGACTATAGGTCTGTTTCAAGTCGGAGAACACATTCCCGGGTGTTGACCGAATCGAACGTTGGGACCGAATTGATGACCTGCCAGGTGCACCGCATTTGGACCTGCACAGCCATGAGCCACAGCCGTGGTGGCTGACACTGCACTCCAACTGGTGAGATGATTCCTTGAATGATATAAGAAGCTCGGAGGATGAAGAGACCCCCCCGCAAACTCACATGGAACCCGAAAATGGACCAATGGAAGACCATTTTCCTCTACATCCCAGTGGTTTTGGGGTTCCATGTTGACCTGCAGGGGAGTATCTTGTGACTCTGGACCTCCCAACTCCTCGCTCTGGTGACTTGAATGAAATCGATAGTCGACTAGGCTGCCGCCAATGTAGACAGCAGTTATCAGTTGGGTCTATTATCCCGTTAGCAGTAAAGGCCTTGCTCAAAAATAGTGATTATTTCTGACCGACTGTTACAAGAAATAGAACAAATATTGACAAATCCAAGTTATCAGTCAAACACTATATAGTACACCCAACTTGCTGCCCACAGGGGCCATGCCTCATTTTTGGCACCGCACCATGAGTTCAACCAATGTTGATGAATGATGGATGGACAGCTCATCTTGAACCACAGAAACCTTTGGGAATCCGTGGATCCATCACCAACTGGAAAGTTCGGGAATCCGTCACACTGTCGTCTGTGTCTGGCTATGCCGGACATGTTCACGCCCGTCTCGCCCATCTCGCCCGTGGGACCATTTCTGCCCGCATGTCAAATTCTCACAGAAGCTGAGAATGTATGTTTTTTTTCAAATCAAACTGCCCCTACTTGGCGAAAGAAAACACAGCTACATGACCCCCCTGGCACCCACCCCAATTAATTATCGAACCGAAACGGTGGAACCGAAGTGGTTGGAGGCCCTATAGGGATATAGAGAGAGAGTAGCGTCCTTGTTCCTAGTAGTAAGGCCAGGGTCGCCCCGTTCGGTTCGCGTCCGAACGCGAACGGTTCGGTTCGCGATGCCAGGGTCGCCCCGTTCGCAGCTTCTTGTTCCTAGTGGTCGGAGGCCATGTTATACATGTTGCGTTGGAGATTGCACATGTTGCCACTCGAAGTCTTCGGCGGGCGTCATATCCCACATTCGCATGGTGCCATCCAATGCCGCAGTCAGAAAAAGCTCGGTCCTGACCAAGCACGAATGGTGCAAGCAACAAGCAAACCAATGAATTCGTGGCAGTTACAAGGACCTTCCAAGGGGTGCCGGCTGGAAGCCCCAGCCCACCACTAAGGGACCTCCAGCCAGGACACCCCTTGGAAGGTCCAGGTAGGTTTCATTTCACGCGTCGAGCTTGTGTCATCTATGAAACCATTTCCCATCAAGACTCTCTGGTCCCGTTCTCACTCCTTTCTTTATGGAACGTTCTTTCAACCCACCACTCTGACTTCCACACAGTCACATCTCAAAAAACACATACACAATCATAGACACAAACATACACATCTCATATACACATATTATGCCATCAATGTGGCCTGAATGGATGCCACATGCCATCCGTCAGCGTCTGTGTGTGGCCCTTGGTGTGCTCCATCTGTCGCACGTACATGTCGCCCAAGACCGTCTGCTGGATGGGTGTCGAGGATCCTGGGTGCAGCCGGTCGCACAAGGAGTGATCAGGTCCAGTCGTGACGCCGGGCAAGGAGGATGAGGGTTAGTGGGGTGGAAGGATGGGGCTCCACCATGGTGGAGTGGAGGCTTCCTGGGGCCATGGTGCAATGGGGGATCCACTTCTTGAATTGAGGATCCACTCCCTCCCAAAGCAATTCAGAGGGGGGAGGCTTCCTGGGGCCGTCGCTGAATCAGGATCTACCAATCAGTCGACCAATATGGGTGAGGCGACCAAGACCTTTTTTTGGGGGGGGAGGTGCAAGGTTTCTCTTGACCCACATGGGCGTGTATCGACCCACATGTCATGTGGCCTTCCAAACCTGGGTCCCGGAGAGCGTGCCTTTGGGCGCAGCACAATTGAAAGCGTTCCATTTTTCGGATCTACCAACGGTAGGTGGTTTACACACCTAACCACTGCTGCTTTTTTGAGAGGGCAACTCAAAGAAACACCAGGTCACCAGGTCATACCGTTGATCCGTGAGGCTCCTGGTTGACAACAATGCCCGGACTTCTTGTTGAAAGATTCAGATTCAGTCAATCAGTCAGGGGCCTGACCTTGCTAAGACTGCTAAGACCTCCAAAAACTAGGATGAAGAAGATCATGACACTCCTTGAAACACTGAAAGATTTGTCGGATCCATTTTCCTCCACAAATATATGCATTCCTCTATATGTTCCTCTAGAAGCTCGCTCGCTTCCATGAATGGATGGAGGGTCCGCACCTTGCCCCCTCCACCTTCTCTCTCTGCGTCGCTCCTCCCGAACCCGTCGCTCC